CAATCATAGTTATTAATGTTTAGAAGCGTAATGCCTATATCGGAAAAAGTGTTCGATTGATTTATTAAAGTGTCGCATGTTCCAATATCTGTTCAGGAAAAAGGAAAATTAAAAGTTTGATATCATGACATAAAACATATTTATAAGCATGTAAAAATTTAAGAGGACAATGTATAATACATCTACAAATATATTATCTGAAAGGTCTAAATCTATAGTTCGAGATGACAAAACTAAACAAAAATATTAGTACATACTTTAACCCTTAAATGTTGTGTCAAAGTTTACTAGAAACAAATTTACATAAAAAGAGAATTTCCCTAGTAGTCCCATAGTAGAACTCTAATAAACTGAATAAGGGATAAGAAAACATCTCTCACTTTTCACGCTAATCACTCAAGCTTCGTTTGATTCCCTTTACTCTGTGTTATTAATAAACAATTAAAATTGCCAAAATACAATATTTTAAAAAACAATTAGTGCTTTAATCACGGTTATAATAAGGCATCTGTTTATGAAAGTTTTTTGACACATATACCGAGTATATAAGAGGATATAAATAAGAACTAGTTGTTCCACACTAAAAACTCAAAACATTGTTTAAAAAGAGCCATTCCTATTTTAATATACAGAATTAGATTTCAAAAAATTATCATTAAAATAAGTTTATTTTGTAAAAAATTCGATAACTTTATTTCAATATGAACCGTAACATCGTACTTATTTATAGGACTTTGCCTTCGGGCCAATAGAACAGTCTTTGTCAATATTTTAGCATGTAAAGAAACAGAATATTAATTAATATGGTTACAGAGCACAATACATACAATGTAGTTATAAAATCTAATATATGAATTATTATTATACAATTAATAATAAGATAACGAATGCCTTTACGTAAACGATACGTGTTTACGTATCTTCTCTTTATGACATAACAAACGCGTTTTCTAAGTAACGTTTTATGACAACCATATTTAATATATTCTTTTAATTCTTTTATTTAACATTACATAAGTAAATTTCCCTAGGCAATGATTGGATTTCTTTGTCGATATCTTCTCCAATCACATCTATCTTGTTGGGAGTTTCAGTTACAGAAAAAAAACCAATTATATTATTTTCCACCAAACTATCGTTGTTCCAGTATCGGAGGAAAACATTTAAAACAAATTCTGAGGATAGAAAAAATAACTTAAAATTTCGAGTCGACCTTAAAACTTTAGCGCACTATGACGGGGTTGTTAGGATATATTATATGATTTGCTTACCTATTTACTTTTCGTTCTATATTAAGCGTTTCCCTAAACGTTTAAAGTTAATAGTCTTTTCGAAAAAAGACAACGAAAAACTATTTTTAGTAAGAGCTTATTGTAATTCTATGAGTAAAAATCTTCTTTTATCCGTGTCACAGTAGATTTAAATGACAAAGATCTTCCATAAAGTAAACAATAACTCCAAAAACCCTCTGTTCCTTTTTTTTTCTTATCGTCTTTTTTTCTATTTTATCTGTAAAGTGGAGAACATTTTGAGAATTTATATTATGAAATGTATACAAGAAAAGATTTAATATTCAGTGGTGGCCTAGTGGTTAAAAGGCCCGCCACTCATACATGAGGGCGTGGGTTCGATCCTGGCCCGGGCAAGTACCAATGTGATTTTTCCGAATCATATGTACTTTCTAAGAGTATTTAGATATCACTGATTAATGCTGATTCCCAAAGAGGGGTGATGTCAGGCAGACGGCCGGTCATAAAAACAATTAGCCAAAACTATTCTCAATATGTAAGGCAGACCCTGGCTATAGCTGAAAAATTGCCAGGTAGAAGAAGACAATAAACGATTTAGCCAATAATAATCTTTACCCATGTACAATGTATGTAAAATCAGTTAACTGATTTTTAAATTGTTGTGATAAACCTGAAGTTTATTGAAACAACTTACTTAACTTTTATCAAATGATGAGTTGAACTGACGTCGTGTATTTTTAAAAATAACAAGAATTAACCACTTTTATGCTTACCGTGACTTTAATTCTTAGTAAGTTTTTTTTTATGCCAAAGCAATTATAGTAGAAGATAAATTTAACATCTTTTGGTCAACACGTTACTAATAGTAATAGTTAGCACACTAACCATTGACATCCATCGTTCCAAAAGACAAATCTTTCTCATACTGGCATTTAGATGCCAGTATGCCTTAATTTATAGACCTGTTTTAATGACTCTTTATTTGTGTGATAAAGTCATTTTGTATATAATGGATTTTTAAATACAAAAAAGATATCTGTTTGACCTTATAAGGTCTGAAGTTTCTAGATCCTGTTGGGTATCTTATTTAAAAATTTAAATAACTTAAACATTTAATTTTATTGCTATGTCAACTTTATATTTACACTTTTTATATAATAGTTATGATGCTTATTATAGCTTATTGCTATGAGATCTTTTATCAAAAGATGTTAGGTACTCAGCGCTGCTAAAAATAAAATGATATGTACATCTTTTAAAGATTGATGGTTAGTCTCCAATCAAATATATTTTAATTGTTTTCCTATTCTTTTAAGTACACTTACATACAAATTGTTTATTAAAAAGATATAATTCTAAATGATTATAAAATATTTAAACAACCATTTTGTTATTCTTGTATTGGTTATTAAATATTTATTGAAATGAAAGAAATTAAAAAACATTTCGTTTATTTTTCCACAAGTTATTGACTACGTCAGATATCAATTGTCGTTAATCAAACATAATAGTATCATGCATTCAGTAGCCGCCATTATTAGTTATAACTTTTCAACTTAATAAATAAAGACCATTGTGCATTAGTGGCAGGGAAATATGACTTTTGATAGCCCATAAAAGTTACAGTGTGACCAACGCTGCCAAGTTGTTAAAATTAAATGTTGCAGTCACAAAATAATAGACCACGGATTTTTTATTTTTTTTTTGCTTTTATAAAAAAAATTCATTAGTTTTGTAACTACAATGACATATTTCTTTAGTAAAATATTGTCATAAAGTATATGGATAATTAAAATATTATTTAAGGATATTCTTACAAAATACACTGTTGGTATGTTCAACAGAGGGTAAAAATTGTGTGTTAATACTTTTGAGTGCTCTTCATCTTTTTAAATTTAACATAATTATTTATAAACTTATTCAATAATTTTTATATAAAAAATCTATGTCTTCATTAAATAAAACTTTTCTTACATTAAAAAAAGGAATTTTAATACCACAAGATTTCAGCTTGGAGCTCAAATATTGGAGCAAGTGAGACACATATTTATGGTGTAGACGTTTACTAATTAATAATATTATTACAATCCCCTACTTGAACGAATATTCGTCACGCAATAAAAACCTGTAGAAACCAATCAATCAATATGAGTGACTGATTGGATGAGAGTGTTAAAGAAATATGTACATATTGAAATTGTTGTGTCCAAACAAAACAGTTCAAATAACTCGGAATTGTCATAAATATACATATCATGATTGAAAATTTTGCTTTTATTACTTACTGTGTGTTAAGTTTTCTATTAAAATATACTATTTATGATAACTTGTTTAAATTTCGGTGTTTGGTAAAAAATTAAGTAAAAGTAATACGCAATCTTATTCTGAAACGTAACCAATTTTAGGGAAATATTGATGGTCCCAAACAATATGGTATATAATACGTATAGATCGAGTATATTCACTCATATCGTAAATTGTCAACCTTATATGAAAGACAGTGTAGTATACAGAGCCCTAACAGTTTCTCATTCATAAAAATATGTTGATATAATATCAAAGAATTATATGTGAAAAATAAAAAAAAATCCCCATATTGAATTCAACTGACATCAAATTTATCAACAAAAATACAAATCATTTCATATCCTTCTGAATTTTTATTCTTTTTTAGTATTAAAATAGATTTGAAGATGAGAAAGAAATTATTACAAAATTTAGAAAGTTTATACTCATTTTTACTGTTAATTACATCGCATTAATAAATTTATATTTATATCACGATATATTGTACGAAAGTTAAGTAATAATTCAGTTATAATTTCTAAGGCCTACTATAACCTCCTGACTACAGAATGTTGGATTTATGGAATTTCTTTAAATTTTTTTTACAGTTTGCTACTTAGGGTCCAAGAATACATGAATAATTTTATAAAAAAAATTATGTCGTGAAAATTTTGATTTCGTCTACGTCCTATATATAGGACAAATTCATTGTAATAGGGTTGTACTACTCAAATAACATAAAAGGATATTACTTTTTATGTCAATTTTGTTTAAAATTTATTTATATTTAAATGGAAAAATAAAACATTTTAATTACTATATTAACAAAACTCACCAATTTCTTAAAAAAATATTCATAAAAGCACAAAATTGTCTTAGAAACAATTTTTTATCGATCAACAGATATAAAAATATTTCAAGCCCGAGTTAGTTTAGAGTTAATTTTTAACATTGTTAGTCAAAAATTAACTCTAAATAATAATAACTTCTTCTAAACCGATTACAATGAGGTTAGTACAATTATCTAAATTATAAAAAAATAAAATTTGGTATCAAAATCAACAGACAACCCCTTGTTTTAACTTTTCATCGATTGACAATTCATTATTATTAATTAACTATTTATTCCTGATAATTGTCCCAGTTCCATGAATCTGAATTCCACAGTCAATATCAGTGTTAAATAGGGGGCATCCAATATATTTTCATCTTTTAATTATGAAAAAAAGAAAAAACGTAAACGTGTAAGAAGTAGGCGGTCAGGAGGTTAAATCGGTTAAGACGCGCCAAGAAAAGAGCAGAGGCGTCTACCACACTTTGATGAGCGAAACAGCAAACTGACTAACATTTGATTTTTTTTATTGCTTAAATAAACCAGTTAGTTGTATTCCACAACCAGCATAAATAAAATAATTAATTAGGTAACCAGGAATACCCAATAATTCAATATTTATAAAATAATACTCATGTGGCCTTAAAAACCTTAACACGAAAGTATACTTAGAAAATAGGACAAATTTTAACATTTATAATTTAATTTCAATTAAACGGCACTCTCTTTTGTAACTTACCACCAAAGAATCAATGACTTCATCAGTTGTCTGGAGCTCGGACATGTTATTGAAAAAATGTTTTGCCACAGATTCCAAGGCTGACTTCGGCCATTCACTAATCCAGTCTATAGTAAAACAATTGACTAAAGAAGGAAATTGACGAAGGCGAAGCTCGGAAAATCTAAAAGAAAAGTAATTCATTTGAAATATACAATTATGACTTAACAGTATTCTAAGCAAAGGAGATTTTATTTTCTTGTTATGAGTTACATTTTAATTTATTAAAAACCAAGTAAAACGATAATAAATAATTCTATTTTGTCAGAATTCAGATGAAACTAAGTCACCTTTAATGGTTTGAGCAGAGATAGAGATAGAGATAACATTAATTAAAATAAAAAATAGCCTTATAGTAATATTATGATACAAAATTATAAAAATGGACAAACCTCTCCAACAGGACTCATAACAATAACAATATGTAAATTGCTCCTCACTCTACGTTGATAACAAGCGAAGAGGTTTGTTTTAGTAGCCGTTAGATTCATTTCCATGACAGTATGTCGGACTGACATGAAGATGGTATCAAGGTCTTCGGCTTCACAAATATTAGGAACGTCACCAGAACTTAGAATATTGTTTAGATCTTCAAGGAATGATTCCATTTTAATCTAAAATATATATATGTAATTATGAATACTCCCGCAAATAAATACAAATACACATTTTATTTCATTACATTGGCCTTATCACAAACAAACATTTTTAAAAAACATAATTATATCCATGTTTATTTGTATTTTGACTGTTAATGTACACCCAACTAAAAGTCTAATATTTTGATGAATCAACAATTAAAAATTTTCGCAGAGTACTGCCGCTTCGTTGGTAATAATTATTGTTAAACTTTTAAACCACTTAACCTGTGCATCTGAAAATAAAAATACTATTCCCCTATTTTCAGCGCCAGCTTTCATCATAGTTTGTTTGAGATCATCTCGCCATTCTGACTGTCCGTAAGCTTTTGTTATTTCTATCTGCACGCACTGTAATTCGGCCATGTTTGCCGCTAGCCGGGATAATGATTGACGTCCTGAAAAATGTTATTGTTAAATAAGAACAGAAATATTTCTTTTTCTATTACACGTAAGATATGAATGAAATTGCTTCAAATTTATTTAACTATATAGTATAATGACTTCACAGTCGAAAGTCGTATATTACAGTACAAAATAATAATAAATCTTCCCAGCAAAACAAAGCTAGTAGATTAGTTTTTAATTACCAGAGTCACCCATTCCCAATAGGAGAGCATTGGTCATTGGTTGTCTCATGATTCTTGCGACACGACACAAATGAGCTACAGCATCTTCGAACAAAACCAGATTCAAAGGAGCCGTGGAAGATAAATCATAATCATCGAGATAGTGAGCTAACACCTCATCCAGCTATAAAAAATATATTTGTTTTATATCATTTTGTATTTACCAAATTATTATTCCAACTTACTTCTTCTTGATCAACAATTTCAACGTATTTTTTATCATCAGTGCCTATGTCCATGAAGTCATCAAACAACATCCATCTACCTCCTAACACCTCAGATGGTTTCTTTTTGAATTCAGTGGTGATCTTTTTATTTAATAGCCTAAGGACAATGTTGTCAGTGAAAAATTTAGTTTTTTTTTGTTTGGAAGTTTTGGATAAAACAAAATATTTTTCAAAAACCAACGCACGTAACAAACCAATCCCGATCTTCTGCATTGACCAATCTATCTTGATACATACGTTGGTGTTCATGATACCACAATCTTATCACATCGTCTTCGTTCTGCGGTAATTTTAGCAATATGTTTATACTTTTCTATAATAAGTTATTAAGTGCTTCATACATTTTATACTGTTACCCATACCCACCTTTACGTGATGAGTGTCCAACGTCAACATTCCTTGGAAAACCTTACTAAGGTCTCTAAGATTAAAAGTGTAATGTGACTTAGTTGGTGTAGGCAATAATTCTTCGACTAAGGAATTAAACACCTTAATGAAGTTCTTCAGAAATGCATCCTCTCTAATTGAAACATTATTTTAGAAATTACGCGTCCAAGACTTTAAGATCTTGTTAAATATTCCGTTCTGGAATTATAGGAATAATTTTTTGAGTACCTTATCCTGTTGACAAAATTACATGTAACAGCTAATAAGAAAATGGCATGAAGTGACAAAAGCGATCAAATATACCATATAAACAAATCGAGCAAGTTTTTAATTATTTTGCTGATAGTAAAAAATCCGTAAATCAATATATTCTAAAGCTCACCTTGCTATTGTATTCCATTTCAGTGAATGACATATAGTGAAAATGTCGCATTAATCTCATAGTGAGAGGATTACGACCCCCACCTGGAGGTCCCATTGCTGCTACCATATTCACGTCAACCAAAGTCTTAAATTCACCAATATTTGTACGGTCGTACCAACCTAGTAAAATCATTAAGAAATTGAAACAACGTTGTACAAAGACGAATCTTTATTTATATCTTCGGTAGATGATACGCAAACGATATTATTTTTATTATGTTTACAAATTCGCGGTTCAACACAAAATCTTATTATTTATTGTAGGACCTTCGTCATTAAACAAATTACAAATCACTTCTTTCCAGAATTGTATACATGAGGTTCACCAAGAATAAGTATGTAATCTCTGTTCTGTATGAGAGCATATTGATTTGAATTCATAGGAATTTAAAAAGGAGGTCAACTTTAATGCTAGGATGCATTTCATACATATTAAATTCTAAAATGTTTTTTCTTTAAAAGTATTAGACTGAAATAAGATGTGTTATATAATGATGTTGTATACAGAATGTAATAAATTTGAAATAATGTAATATGCCAACGACATTATCTTATAATTCTTTACTATTCACTTAAATCATTTTAATTTGAAAACAACGGTTCAAATATTTTTTATATGGCTTATTAAAACAGTGTATTTACGAGTATATCTTAAACGTGACTATTTTATTCTTGTATATAAATAATTAATATTTAGTACCATTCATAAATCTTAAAACTCAACATGACTAGAATTGTGTTAGTAAAAATATATATATTTATAATAAACTGACAAATGAAACAGTCGACTCAAAAATACGGTTTAACTTTGATTTAAAATGTCACTATTTGCGATAGGAAATGAACAAACTAAGACAATAATTTGTCAGCATTTCAATCATTCACGTGGGGGTCTATCGCGTTGTAGGGAGACTAGCTTTAACAGTGCCTCGGTCTTCGAGGTGTAAGTTTAAGTGGCCCCTATCTAACGCGCATTAAACGTTTCTACAGCAGTTTATGGAGTTTTCTTATCAGAAAAATCATAACTGCCGTAGAAGTTCAATGGGAGGCTGGGCACCGTACACTTCTAAGGCAGGCATGTTTAGATCATCTATGAAAAAGACCTGCCGCTTTGTAGGCGGTGGACCAAAGACTCCGCGACGACGGCGTTCTAACTTACTATCTATGATGTCCTTACTAAATTTATAAACTATTATTAATTGGATACAGAACTAATTTATAAAACCTAGTACCTAGAAAACACTAGAAAGCAAATTATTATTATTATTATTTTAGTTTTTTTGCCTATTATATTAGATCAGTTCACACAGACATTGTAAAAAATATAACATTTTTACACAATTATCTAAATTGTAGTTTATGAAAACAATTATTATAAATTATCAAAAACTATCCGTCATTAGCATTCAATTTAGAATCTAATTGAAAGATGTGAATTGCTGTAAGCGTTAATCTTTATAGTTACCTGAGTCTGATTAGCCGATGTCCTCGCAGAAAACACTAGGAATTCACAAATAAATTCTTGTGCAACCCTCGAGATAGCTTTGAACTTATCGTCACAGTCTTGCTAGTGCCGGTAAGGCCGACACATATCACATGATTGTAATTTATTATCTTATATCCCAGAATCGCTGTGCTTCTCCCATTATCTAGCGTTGGTACCTCGATATCTAATAAATTAAACATAATTTATCCCATCTTAAGATTTATGTTTGATTGTATTGAATTTATACGTATTAATCAAAAATAGATATTTTCTTGACTCCCATAATATTATATACAGCTTTATAATTTTGGACGACAGTTTTAGTAAAGTTCATATATGTGTTTTATTTTAAGTTTTAAGAGGTTGCTGCTATATACCTGCATATTGCCATTCAGGATCTACTTCATATTCTTCAAGATTTTCCATCAAACTGTACCAGAATGGGTTTGCTGGTTCACCATCTTCAGTAGGATCGGTGAAACCACCATCATGAAGCCTATAAAAATATACAAACCCAATTCAAATAGGAACTTTTACTTCTAGCTACTTTTAAACTAATCTATACTAATATTATAAAGCTGAAGAGTTTGTTTGTTTGTTTGTTTGAAAGCGCTAATCTCCGAAACTTCTGGTTCGAATTGAATAATTCTTTTTTTGTTGGATAGTCCAGTTATCGAGAAAGGCTGTAGGCTATATAACATCACGCTACGCCCAATAGGAGCAAAGATATAGTGGTAAATGTGTAAAAAACGGGAGAAATTATTTCATCTTTGAAGCCTTCCGTTGCATGCGTCGTCAAAACGGTTCAAGATACACAAAAAATATGTATTAAAGAATAATAGCTCTTTTAATGATCTAAAAAACAGTCCCGGACAGTATATGTCTATCTTTTAAGATTAACTCACAAAAATCGTTTTTATGGTACCTAATTTAGTCGAAATAATTTGTTTAAGTTGTATCGACATAATAATATTAATCTTTATTCCAATAAACATATAAATATGTTGTTGGTTAAGAGTGAATAAAAAAAAACATAGGTTTTATCCTGAAAATTCTACGGGAACTCGACCATTCCGAAAACCCCGCAAGAACGGGAACTATGTGGAAAGAACCAAAAATCTGCCGGAAGTCGCTATTCCACGCGGACGGAGTCGCGGCAAAAGCTAGTTATTAATAACAAACAATCAAATCATGGTACGCATTTTAACATGTAAGGAAAAATCTTAAAATTATTCTCACGTGTAATCATACACCCTCCCTTCCTTGGGGAATGGAGGCTTGGTTTCGTTTTGCGTCATAAGATTTCTTATGAAATCGGAAAACAATGCCCGACCGTTGTGATCACAAGTGGCTCCCACGGACCATATTAATGGCCAGATAACCCAACACGGTGAAAGTCGCGCTTTGTGATAAAGACTTATATTGGAAACATTGCTTCTTAATATTATAAAATCGTCTGAACAAATGTTATTTGGTCGACTTACGCATGAGTGCTAAAAATGGTGCTCCGGGAGGTGGTCTGTCGTCTTTACCAGTAAGAGGTCTCAATCTATAGTCTAGGAGTTCCAGGACTTTAAGTACTAGGGCCGAATCGATAAAACAACAATTTCATTACATTTAGACCTCAAGAATGCTAACGAAGGATATAGATATGTTGTTATGAGATTAGGAAGAATTTTTCGGAAACTGTCTGCAATCTGTTAAATATATTTTTTAAAAATAATAAGCCTGTATTAGATTTCTTACAAAAGAAATAAGATACTAACCGATGGAAGGTTACTCTTCATCTAAGCATTCACTAGTGGAGGCAAACCTACCACCTGTGTATCAAGATATACCATCCCGCAACGGCTACATCAGCTACTTCAAATATCGCTGACGATCAGTTAGCTTCATGATCTCTCCACATGACTGACATAACTTTTTATTATCAGCCAAGACCTAAAAAAACGCAAAATGATGTAGAGGTTACTTTCCAATAAAGATCAGGGTACCAAAAATTAATCTTCACTAAAAATATATAAAGAAAATTTCAAACAAATATAATATGAAACTTACAGTGTTCATATTTTCTATAGCACAGCGTCGACAGGTCCATCAAACACGTACCAGCGACGATCAGTATCCTCAACTGCGATTCCAGCTCGAACCAGACTTGAAAGAATACCATCAGTCCTGTTGAATGGAAAAAAAGATATTTTAAAAACTGAACTACTAAATTTCCCAAAAAACAAATAGATTCTTCTTTTTAGCTAAATTTACGGGGTACACTACATATCTACATCGAAAAACTATTACAAAAGAATGTCTTGACTTGTCCTCCCATATTATTCATATCTTACCATGGTGTGAACATTATTAATATATTTACCATCCATGAGTTTGCAAATCAGATTCCCCATACAATTGTCCTATGGTAATAGACTTGGGGTTGACTACTGACGTATGAACCGGAGTGAACGGAAATCCATCTAGTGCTAACTTTCCCTTTATAGGTGTTAGAGCATCACGTAGTATCTCATAGCACTATAAATAATAATGTAAAAATCGTTTTATTGCGAGATTTTCATTAGTTTTTTTATGGTATTTTCTTGGAATGGAAATAGTAATAATAATAATTTATAAATATATAATGAACCTTAATTTTTCCAACTCCTGCAGGACCAACTGACATGAGACCATGCCGCACTACAGTCGTTTCATATAACTGAATTATTTTGAAAATTAAGCTGTAAAATTTATACCACATATGTATATAAGATACACTTAGTTAAAAAACAATTTTGTGCCCAAAAAAAGATAAAATATTATCAAGAATAACTCACTGTATAAGTCATCATAGCCCCTTTTGATAAGCATATTTCTTATGGACTGTTCCATGATACCATAGTCCACTATCGGAATTTCAACTCTTGGGAACAAATCTGATATAATACCTATAAAAATGTCACAACCAAAGGATTAATATCACTTACGTATGTTCGTTTCTTTACCAATATATTGAAAACAGCATGGGATAATATTCTCGTGAGATATATATGCTTTATAAGGTACTATACCCTTGAACAAAACAAGATCATCAGCTAGAAACTTGGGTACATTCACATCTCGTAATGCTCTTAATACTATGTATTTGTCTCTCATCTCCGTCGGGCATCTGACGTATTAGATTACCGGCCACAAGGATAACTGTCTTCACGGCTCGCATACCGAAATCGTAGTGCTCCTTTTTGCAATAAATAAATATGTACCTCATCCACAATCCAATAAGGTTTAAAATCGGGAGACAATTGTATTTGTATCTTTTAGTGTCCTACTTTGAAATAAAAATTAAAAATAAATTGGAACACAGATAACATTACTTTTAAGTTATTTTTATCACATAGGTATTTGGTAACTTGAAGTAGAAACATTAATAATATAAAAAATAATTTCACATAATATCCTTATATACCAGATATTGAATTATAAGCTTTACACACTAAATAACAAACTAAACTGTTATGCAGTTAAGTGCACGAAAAATAAGCAATAATTTAAAGTTTTCTTGTTGATTAACTTTAATTATGTATATGTAAAAAGTTTTACTTATATCTACATAAACGAGATCGAAAGTATTGCATACTATTCTGGGCCCTCAATGTCAAAACATGAAAATATGTAGTATTAATTAAAAAGTGAGGTTACATTGCATTGTCTTTAAGGGTTAGCTGAATACACTTAAAAGTATGTGAAAAATAATAATTTTATTTAGAAGAGAATATCTGATAAGATATAACAAGGCAAGAAAGACTCAAAGACATACAGATATCGGTAAAAAGTATGGAATTTTACGAGGAACAGGAGTGAACTATGTGATAAAAGTCATAGAATAAAACAAATAATTTTAATGGAATATTTTATTCCTCTTCAATAATAATTAAAATATCGTCTAGGAACTGTGTCGAGGGTACAATGTTACTAGTTGCTATCCCACAATTCACACAGCGATCCATCGTTTCAGTAATATCCAATCCACAAGCCGGCGAAATAATCCAAATTAACAATTCCAAGTCAAACGTGCAGGCGATCATCGGTGTCCAATGTGAAAGCAGGGGTCGTAAAACGTTAGACGGGTTCGGAGTCCGTAAAAAACAAAGCAGTGGTTTTTGAAAACGTAAAATAATCGGAAAAGCACTCCAAACGAATGGAAAAACACGAAACAAGTCAGACTCAGATAACAATGCATCTAGTAATGGTTAAGTGTCAATGTCATGTTGCCATAGACTATATACTGAATGTTTCGATCGATATGGAATCGATAATCGTAAAGGATGTTTTGAAATAATATTTAATATTATTATTATTTTAAAACACGTTATTAAAAGTTATTTTTATTGAATTGTAGACATATATGGTGTAGTTTAAATGAAGTTACTGTAAGTTTAAAACTAGGAGTGAAGTTTATCTTTTGTAGTTAAATAATCGAATAATCATTTTTTATTTAATTAATCGTTAATCGATTGCTTCATAAAAACAATTATTTGCATATTTCTCCGCTTGAAGATTGAGAATTTATGTAGATTTTTGGTACTCGTATTTCATACGAAAAAAAATTAAGTAATTTTTTAAATCCATTTTAAACTCATTACATTTTGGGCCCACAAGTTTCTATCTGCTTTAATAGTCCCAGCTAAATAAAATTAAGTCTTACCTGAGAAGACAATTTTTCAGAGCTCAATCTAAACGTTGTAGTAATTTTTCCTGCCAGAATCTTAGCGTCGTAGAAACCATATAAAAATAAAGAAATTTCTGCTATAAGAGCGTAGTCGGGCACCATCATTGCAATAGGACGGAACAATGCTTTCAGATTATCTGGTAATTCCGTTCTGCCTGTTTAGAAAGAGAAATATACCGAATGCGTACTATGCGTCTTTTATTATTTTTAAAACAACATACTCCCGAAGATTCGGTTACTTTGCTGCAAAATATACTATGGTATAGTATGTAGTTACTAAAAATAAAATAGTTAGTCGTAGTAATCCAAATCTTTTAGTGTCATTGTAATGAATACACGCGAAAGTCTTAGATCTTATTATTTAAATATATATAGGTACTTGTTGAGCGACGACAGATAAAACTTCAATGTCAATTCTATTAAACTCATCGAAACAAGCCCAGGCACCGGATCTGAAATATTTTCATAAAAATTATAAAATTTAACACAAGTTTAAATGTATTACTATATATATATATACGCTGCTAGTCCTTTGAAAAAGTTTCCCATAGCCATATAGTCGAGCTGATCTGAACAATTGAATACCACACATTGAACAGCCAGTGCTTTGGCTAAATCCTGGAAATAAACAAACTCCACATAATCAATAGAAGACAAGTGTTAACTATATACATGTACTTGTACTTAGCTATATATAACAATATTTTGTTTTTGTTCTTATATCAGCAAAAATTAAAAATAAACCTAACCTTAGTTGTCTCAGTTTTTCCTGTACCAGCGGGACCTGCCGGTGCACCACCGAATTTGAGATGCATTGCGCACATCAAGGTCAAATAACATCTATCAGTTAGCGGCGTGATGACCAGACGACCGCTGAAAAAAAACACATATATAAGTGTCATCATCGGAGCATAGGATCCCATGAACATAGGCAGTCGAGACAAAATTATTGTAAACCCTGACACGTAATAAATGGTTTATCTTGACCGTTAAACATTAAGGGTAGGTAATAATTGAAAAGAAATCTATGGCATAAATGAGTTACCTATTTCCCAAGTACTCGTTTTGATAAGTGAAGATAGAATTCAGTGCGCGAAAGTCACATTTATTCTGACTGAACTGACGATAGTACAATGAAGTGTGTAATCTTTCCTCGTCTTGATATATCTCTGGTAATTCACCTTCCTCAAGCGGTATCATTCCTTTTACGATTTGACAATACCTGAATGGAAATAAATTCTATTTTAATTTGTAACAAAGATTCTAATATCAATTCTATTTCCCAGATAATATTAATAAAGTTGTTGCAATTGCATTTTACTGAATTTTTGTAAAAAAAAATTTTTGTTTCGTAATGAATTATTATGAAACTAGAAACTTTCAAAAGATTAAATAAATTCTTTTCAATTGTAATCGATTATATTGTATTTAAAGTCCAACTAAATGAATAATAAATATATTTAAATTAGTAGAAAAGCCTTATGAAGTCCGATTAAAGCCATATCAAACTATCATTCTATATATCTTTTTATAACCAAAAACTCAACATTACCTCAACTGACATATCTATTGGAATTCGGTAACATTCTTGACACTTTCATCAACTAGTGTCTTTGTAACATCACGAGCATGCACTTCGATAACTATCAGGGCACATAAAACTTCGCGTTGGAAGAAAGTTAGTTCACCTTTAACTTAGGCACGAAGACTATCCAACTATTGAAAAATGTTGCTTATTATATACTTCAGTATAAAGTAATATGTGATTATATTTCTTTTTATAGAAAAAACGCCGTCTTTTTTATGTATCATGAAGTAGTAAGACAATATTTAGATCTCTTTAATACGTTACCTGTTTGAGCATCTCTTCAAAGTATTCATCCATTCTGTATTATGATATAGCTTGTTCAACTCCCGCCGTCCAAGCTGTTTGTGATCCCGCAATCACAACCTGCCCCGGCCATCGCAGTACCCACTGATCACGAGGTAACTCCCATTATTCTACCATTGAATCCACCAAGGTCAGACGGACTAAGAATAAAATACAGTTATTTCATTAATTATCATATATACCTAATATGCCAGATAGTTTATTTAGTTTAACATTTGTGTATGTTTCTATATTTCTTTGTTATATTCTATTGCTTAAACGTGATAATTTTAAGCTCAAAATGTAATTGGATTTCTCTTAGTAGTAAATATGACTGTTCATTCACCATTTTACTTTCCGTACAGGTGACAATATATTGCATAAATTTATAAAATCTGAATGGAAAAATATATATAATAAATCAATCTCGTCTCACTTGTATGTCGCACAGTGTCTTCTAGTAGAAGTAGCCACTGCTCGACATTTGAAGTAGGGTAAAATTTTTACATCAACTCCTCGATTACACCTCACTTGAATGCATTTAAGTTATCTTTAGATCCGGTTCAAATGTTACCTGACGGTATTATATACAAAAAATTAAGAAACATTATATTAAAAGTAATTATTTCTGCTTACAAACATAGTATACATGAATGTTATAATTATTATAACTTAATTATTTATTACCAAAAGGAGAAATTAAAAAGGGATGAATGTGGTGTAGGTATAATAAAAAGGAAAAGGAAAAAATTTAAATTATATTTACATATAAGCATACAAACAAAATTCTAATACAAAAATTATAATAGTCAATTTAGATATTATACATATATAGATATAAACATAAATGTACACATAAATATGTACTATTTTTATAATAAATAAACACATACATTACACATCAGAAGACAGATATAATTAGGTACCTTAGCAATATTCTCGAAGCATTTTCTAAGATGGGGTTGCAATGCTCTTGGGTTGCGAGATTGGGATAATATTTCTAGCAATTCATCATCACTAAGGAAGAAGAATCTCGGGAACCGTACACGTTTAAGTTTCATATATTCATTCAGACCTTGTGATACAACAGCCAGTAAATGACGAGCTTCAACCAGGCTATCTAGAAGACGGCTATCCGGACATTTAATCATTATCTATAAACAAAATAAATATATTATCATTAGTTATAAAACTAATGCTACATTTACACATGCTTTAAATAAGCATGCTTTTTTTAAGCAACACTTGAACACACATGCTAGTAAACAGCACGTGCTTAATTAAAGCATGCTTTTATGCTTGAAATAAGCATGTGTAACAGTTGCCTAATATTTAAAACATTTTACATGTTAGAATATTAACAAGCTTTTAAAAAATACTATTAATATTTAAACTGTGCTACACGTGACTAAATATCGTGTGTATAAAGTTTAAAACTCGTTTGAAAGTTTGCCAAATACAGTTAGGAAAATAAACCTTTGGACATGCTGGTGCCGATGACATAATTCCTCTCCATATTTTCTCCATAGTGCCGTACTTTTTAGCATCAAGCGGTAA